TTCGGCCTTTTTTCGGTTTCGGCCGAAAGTCATTTTTAAACCTTCGGCCTTTTTTCGGTTTCGGCCGAAAGTCATTTTAAACTTTCGGCCTATTTTCGGCTTCGGCCGAAATCAGAAAATCACTTTCGGTCGGTCTCTACTTGAGATTTTGTTTTCTTTTTTAACTCTCGTAACAGTGTAATGCCAAAAATTTCTTTAACATGGCATGGACAGCATTACACAATCCATTAACATTCAGCCTTTTCGGTTTATCATTACTCAAGCGATTTAGCATGTGTTGCACCCAATATTTCAGTATCAGCCTTCACACACATAACCTTTTTTTTTTCCTTCTGATTCTTCCCCTTCAGATCAACCCAACAGCCACGGCTATGAGATTCACTTCGACCTCCAGAACAACCGAGGCCAGATTACGAACAACCTGCACTGGGACAACCCAGAGGTCACGTGGCAACGCGTTTCGTGCCCCGGCGACCTGGCCAGCAAATATTCCCAGTGTGAATGTCACTAAATGCATTGTCTTTCTTTAAAAAAAATATACATATAAAAAAATAAATAATTCACACCATATCGTTTGATACCGCGCAGAGACACACACACAATTTATACAAAGTTGGAGCAATGATTAAAAACTACAGGACCATTGACACTGCTGTCGGCACATTCTAATGTGTAGGCATCTGGCGTCCACAGAGGGATGAAATAATTGTCTTCACATCAAATTAATACAGACGGAATATATATATAGATAGAGCATAATCACGTGACCCATTTGAATGTCAAATAAGACCAACAAACAAGCCGACAATTTAAAAAAAAAAAAAAATGAAAACGTTTGCAAAATCTAGGACTAAGAGCCCGTTCTCGTAAGTCTCAAGTGGTCCGCCCATGACTGAAGTATAATAGAGAAGAAATGTTCGTGTTGTATATAGCATGTATCCATGAAGGAAATAAATAAATATTTAAATTTTAAAATCCTTTGCATACACTTACTTTTGTTCGTGGCTGGCTGGCAACATCTTCGGACGGCTAGTTGACCCACTTCCCGCCAACATATCGAGCTGAAACTTGGCACATAGACTCGTTGCCGATGACAGCACATTCTATAGTTTTTCAACCCACCCCCAATACAATTCCCGATCAATGCGCTAAATAAGATTCTTAAAAAAAAATAATATATCCCAAGTTCGTTTGGTGCGCAAAATGTTCTGTTCTTTTTCTGTAATAGTTGGTGAAATAAATCAGCGGTGTAAAAAGCGGGTGGGTCATAAGAATATTAGTTTAGCTCAGGGGGGTGGGAATAAATGTGCGATCTTTTTCTGTAATAGTTGGTGAAATAAATCAGCGGTGTAAAAAGCGGGTGGGTCATAAGAATATTAGTTTAGCTCAGGGGGGTGGGAATAAATGTGCGGTTGCGAGCCTTGAGGGGGCGGGGGGGGGAGAGTATAATTGGGATTCTTATGAAGTGCGTTACTTGTGTGCATGTTTTGTCCAATGTTCAGTCTCAGCCCGCATCGCTCGGTGTGACAGTTTAGATCAGGCCGCATCGCTCGGTGTGACAGTTTAGATCAGCCCGCACCGCTCGGTGTGACAGTTTAGATCAGCCCGCATCGCTCGGTGTGACAGTTTAAATCAGCCCGCATCGCTCGGTGTGACAGTTTAGATGAGCCCGCATCGCTCGGTGTGACAGTTTAGATGAGCCCGCACCGCTCGGTGTGACAGTTTAGATCAGCCCGCACCGCTCGGTGTGACAGTTTAGATCAGCCCGCACCGCTCGGTGTGACAGTTTAGATCAGCCCGCACCGCTCGGTGTGACAGTTTACACAGGATTTATACGAAATACTTTTGTTTTTAAGGGCTGTTTAATAATTATGTAAAATGACGTAATTCAGTGGTTCTCAACCTTCCTAATGCCACGACCCTTTATTACAATTCCTCACACTGTGGCGACCCCCAACCACAAAATTATTTTCGTCGCTACCTCATTCGCTTTACAGCATGTGTGTTTTCCGATGGTCTTAGGCGACCCCTGTGAAAGGGCCGTTCGACCCCCAAATGGGTCGCGACCTACAGGTTGAGAACCGCTGGCGTAATTATTTGTTCAAAAGATGACCCACACCATTTAGAGAATCCTTAAATATGTATATACAGAGAGAGAGAGAGAGAGAGCGAGAGAGAGAGCGAGAGAGAGAGAGAGAGAGAGAGAGGGAGAGAGAGAGAGAGAGAGAGAGAGAGAGAGAGAGAGAGAGAGAGGGGGGGGGAGAGAGAGAGAGAGAGAGAGAGAGAGAGAGAAAGAGAGAAAGAGAGAGAGAGAGAGAGGGAGAGAGAGAGAGAGAGAGAGAGAGAGAGAGAGAGAGAGAGAGAGGGGTGGGGAGAAATAGAAATAAATCAAATAATAAAAAGGTTACTTTCGCTGTGCATATCTTCACTTTATTACCAGCTTTTACATTCAAAGTAATGTTTTTGGTGTTCGAAGAGAGCAACACTTCAGATTTAGCGGCACTCGCACTGCCTATATTTATTGATCTGGTCTTGGGAGCACGGGACATTCTCCCACGTGACTTCCACGTTGTCCCAACCCAATCCATTAGATATTTGGCCAATGTTATTCTGAAGGTCAAAGTGGACGTCATAACCGTAACTGTTCCTGCTGGCTGTAGACACAAAAATAAAAAAAAATAAATAAAAATAGTCCACTGTGACGGATCTTAATTTCATCAATTTGCTGACCCATGCTCATACAATTGAATGATCTCCTTTCATAAATTGACTAATAATAACTTTCATGAATTGGATGATCTAGTTTCATTAATTGGATGATCTACTTTCATGAATTGGGTGATCTAGTTTCATAAGTTGGATGATCTCGTTTCATTAATTGGATGATCTAGTTTCATAAATTGGATGATCTCGTTTCATTAATTGGATGATCTAGTTTCATAAATTGGATGATCTAGTTTCATTAATTGGATGATCTAGTTTCATTAATTGGATGATCTAGTTTCATTAATTGGATAATCTAGTTTCATTAATTGGATGATCTGGTTTCATTAATTGAATGATCTAGTTTCATTAATTGGATGATCTAGTTTCATTAATTGGATGATCTAGTTTCATAAATTGTGTGATCACAACTTTTCATAAATTCTCTCATCTGCTTTCATAAAACTAATGAAGATAACATTCATCAAATAGGTGATTGTAACTTTCATAAATTGACTAAATAAAGCATGAAGCATATTATAAATTGAATAATTTCTTATTTGAGGGTCAGGGACTTTAGTAATGTCCATTATAGTCCAAGGAATAGTGTTAAAGAAACTTGACTGGTATCGACTGAACCAATTGTCTTAAGTCTTAAGGCATAGGGCTAGAAGCCATCTAAAAAAAAAATTACTTTAACAAGCCATTAACTTTGTATATATATATAAAAAAAGGGATTTTTTTTTCCCCAGACTGGTGTTAAAATAAAGACTAGCTAGGGTTAGCCCTACAATGTATTCATATTAGAACTAACATGTATTCAGATTAGAACTAACATGTTTTGGCATGCTATCCCTAACAGATTATCCCTAACATTATTCATATTAGCCCTAACATGTATTCAGATTAGACCTAACATGTATTCAGATTAGACCTAACATGTATTGAGATTAGACCTAGCAATTCTTCACAGATTCGCTGTAATGCTGAACCAAGTGAACAAAGGACAACGCATTTCAGTGCGTTTTAACTTTTAAAGGAGCCTTTGAAAAAAAATCAAAAAGTGAAACAAACTATAAAATCAGGTCGTCTGATGCCAGACACCCCAGTTAGACTTACAGCACCATTTCCAGTTGCCCACGACAGGACAGACGTTGGTGACCATGAATGTTACAGAGTTGGTGTTGCGTGGTGCTCTGCCCTCCCAGGGCACGAAACCTCCTGTAAAATTGTAGGGCATAATTAAGTAAGTATTTGTTACCTGAGTGAAATTGGAATTAACAATATACGATGTTTTTTTTAAAATGTCACCATTGATGTAGCATTTGGAAAGAGATTGTTTTAACTTTAAAAAAAACAATAAAAAAACAAACAAAACAAACCACTATTTCGCGCGTGTGTGTTTTTGTGTTGAAACTCATGATTTTAAAATAAATGATTTTGACAAGATTATAAATGAATATATCAGATATTTGTAAGATTTTCACCCCCCCCCCACACACACCCACCACAAGCTTGTAACTAAGTTGCGGTATAAGCGTTCCATTTTAGATATTAAGCTAACGTTATTGGCACCAACTGCACATTGAATGATTGCAAGGGTGTTGCTTGGGCTCTGGATTTTATAAGTATATATTGTACACAGGACAGGGGAGAGAAGGCAACCTTGTGACGCTCCAGAACTTATTTGTCTAGTTCAGTGGTTTCTCAAAAAAAAAAAAAAAAAAAAAAAAAAAAAAATTGAATCGCCCTGCTGCTGACTTTTGGCTCTTTTTGGTAATTCCCTTTGACATAATGTGGGCAATTTGTTGAAAAAAAAAAATCAGAATTTACGCTTGAATATTAATTTTTTTTTGTGTCATCCGTCCGTCAAAAAGTGACGCCGGTGTAGACTTCGCAGGACGAGATCACACGGCCAGGAATGATTGTCTAGGACTGTGGTTCTTAACCTTTTTGGAGGTACTGAACCCCACCAGTTTCATATGCGCATTCACCGAACCCATCTTAATAGGAGGTACTGAACCCCACCAGTTTCATATGCGCATTCACCGAACCCATCTTAATAGGAACAATAAAATATGATTGTTTTTTATGATTTTTTTTTTTTTTTTACCTCCGACGAGCCCCTGAGACTGACTCACCGAACCCCTGGGTTCGATCGAACCCAGGTTAAGAACCACTGGTCTAGGATGATAAGCTTGTTCCCTACAAAGCAAATCTTTCCACGCACCTGGATAACCCCAATATACATATATATATGTGTATGTATGTATATATATATATATATATATATATATATATATATATATACACATGTCTCTTAGTCCTTGGACCGTTGGGGCGCTACAGATGACATGAAAACTATCCTCCTCCATTCCTCTCTGTTTTCTGCACTTCGTACAACATCGCCAGCTTTAGTCCCGTCCACTCTTTGATGTTATCTTCTCGTGTTTTTCTCTGTCTTCCTCATCTTCTCCCTCCTCTCGTTTTGCCCTGCATGATTTCTTTAGCGAGCCCTTTTTTTTTCTTGTCACGTGGCCATACCATTCCAGTTTGCGATTTTTTTTACAGTTCCCAGGAGGTCATCATAACTCGCCTTTGCTTGACGAATGTTTTTTTTGACTTGTTTGTTAGAGATAAGGTTTCTATAGCAGATTCCAGGAACGCTTCTAAAAACGCTCATCCCCCTCTCCTTTTTTTTTCTTCCAAGTTCTGCTGTTGATTTCCAGGATTAACAGACATACAAAAAAAAAAAAAAAAAAATGGAGAGGGCTAATGAGGTCATCAGCCTGATTTTGGTGCTGGGTGGTATATTTTTGTCATTCCATATTTTCTTAGGCCCCTTTAGTTGTGTTGTGGTCTGGGCAATCCTGGATAACCCCAAGGGAACATCTTATGTGGATAATACCATAGACACCATTAGCGTGGAAGGAGTTGGTGGAATTTTCATTGTGTCAGTGTTATCCGCATACGGGACTCCCAAATCCGGGGTTGAATTAAGAGTTTGCCTTACTTTTCTTAAATGAGATGCCGTCCAAGTTTAGCGGGTCACATCCACCCGGGGGGGGGGGAGGGGGGGAGGGTTCTGGGGGGCTTTTTGCATCTCCACTTTGTTTGGGGATGGAACTCTAGACCGCTAGCTTTTTGAATTTACACCTACTGATTTTTTTTTTTTTTTTTTTGGGGGGGGGGGCTGTCAAGGCTCTGGGAAAGGCTTTCCAATTAAGGGTTCCCCCAGAAGTAGGCTACTGTGATACTGGGGGTAGTCCCTCTTCAAAGTCTGCCCTTGCGGGTCTCTTGGCCTTGCGGCTCTCTCATTTGCTCTACCGATCGTCCCGACCAAGGCTGAAAGTCAAGTGAGATATCACATTCCTTTGCACGTGTTTCGCAACCCCGTGGTGTAAGAAAGGACACCACATCCTGATCTGAGCCAAACAGGCCGAGGGGCGATCAAATTTTTTTGTTTCTGGGCTTATTCAGCCAAACTCAAATTCTTCAGTGCCAATTCGGCAACTATGTCTTACCCACCTGTTGGGGTTAGCTTTACACACGAGCCACAAGCTGCGCCACACCACAAATTATCACCACGGAAGAAATTCTGACTGGGTGCAGTGACGTAATCAGCCAAGTTCCATCCAAATGGGGTGTCTGTGACAATGCATATACATAATTCGTGACAGTACATTAAAAAATTATTGGCATAAATTATAACATGATATAAAAAAGACAGCCCTAGGGATTCCTGTCATCATTTACTCCAATTTGTTGTATAAAAAACATACTCCATCATCTGGAGTCAGTATCCATCAACATATTTGAAGCGATTGAGCAGACACATATGAAGGGAGGCTATTGTTGAAAGTTGCTTCCCTTGGTTAAATTAAGGAAAAAAATTTCCCTGGACTTAATTATAACGAAATGGTTTGAATATAGCTATTTGATGACAAAAGGGAAAAAAAATAAGTTTTTGTTATAAATACTCTAATACCTCTTAGAAAAGTTGCGAAAAAGGGAAACCTAATCTACAGGAAACGGTTGTCATAAACGAATTTTTTTTTAGATGTGTATCTTTTAAAGCTGATTTCAAACGCTGTCAAGAAATAAACGTTTATATCACGTGATCAAAAAAAAAATGAAATCACGTGCACGTTTACTTGAGGTATTTTCCTCGTGATTTTAAATATTTTTTAACAGCAGCATTTAGTTAACATAGCATTTGTTACAAACCTCCTCTTAACACTTGTAGTTACCTGAGTTTCTCGGCCCACACCCACACGCTCCCCGACGTCCATCATCATAGCGAGTTGTGCTGGCGCACGGCCGACCGTTGTACCTCAGGACGCCGTTCCCGTCTCTCGTGCACTTCTGCTCCCCCCACACACCTGCGTAAAATAAATGACTTTTTCAAGACTTACCGTATGTACTGATACTGGCGTATAGGTCGTACTTTTGAAACCAAAAAATTTTGATAAAAATCAGGGCTGCGACCTATCCACACGACATCAATTTCGGGTACTTTTATTCAGAGCTGTGTAGTCATTTATAGGAAAAGGCGTAGAGTCGTTTTCTCACTGGCTCCAGCTTATCCTCGAGCAGGGGGGAATCCATTAAACAAAATTAAGATTTCTGTTCAATTCTTAGTTTAGGAAGATTATTTTTTCAGTTTTCAAGGATGTTGTTGAAACATTTGTGAGACGTCTGCTTTATAAATATTAGTTAATTTAACGCAGGAAGAGGGCCATGTATCACCTCAAAATAGCGACTTTGAGAACCTCGAACTAAGAGTGTAATCTATATACTGGTTTGCCTTATACTCGAGTATAAAATATATGGTATAAATTTCATTAAATTAATTTAAAAAAAAATAATAATAATAATTTTAAAGCAATAAATTCATCCGTGAAGTTGTCCAATTTGAAATAGTTCACTGTGGTACTAATATGTATTCAAGTATGGACTTAAAGGGCGAGAAACAAACTAATTGATCGACGCATGTTTCCTGTTTAAGAGTAATTTAACAGGTCCCTTTGTGTTCTCATATGAAAATAAGGTGACATCCTAGAGAAGAAAGGAGGGGGGGGGGAGGTTTCAGGGAACGGGGAACCGGGGAACTCATTGACAGTTAAATACCGTTGCTTACCTTGAGCGTTATCCACCTCTCCCCCCCCCCCTTTTTTTTTCCTTTCCCAAAAATCATTGAAAGGGAGACCAAAAGATTAGACTATTTAAATACAAAATGGTTTAATGAATTTATTTAAACGGATAATAAAAAATTGACAGTTAAATACCGTTGCTTACCTTGAGCGTTATCCACCTCTCCCCCCCCCCCCTTTTTTTTTCCTTTCCCAAAAATCATTGAAAGGGAGACCAAAAGATTAGACTATTTAAATACAAAATGGTTTAATGAATTTATTTAAACGGATAATAAAAATTATTATACTGTTATACAATTATACTATAAATTAAAATTATACCTTTATAAAATTATAACTTTTAAAAGGGTAAATTTGGATACTATATTCGGTACAATACAAAATTCTCTGAATTTTTAAAATGTTTTTGGGCGTGAACAATCCCTGATAACTAAAGTGGGATGCTGCTAAAGGCAGCAAAGTTTCGACCACCCCTTTGTATGAAAGTTTCGAGGTCTTTGTAGCCCTTGATGTTTTGTGCATAAGCGGTAGAGTTACTAAGGTGATGATGGTGTAGGGTTGGAAGAAGTGACACCATCACAGGGGGTAACACCCTCACAGGGAATGGCACCCTCACGTTGACGTGAAACCCCTCAAGAAGGGTGGCACCGAATGGAACATGGTAAATTTGGAGCTAAGTTAAATACAAGAGCATGTTATCACCAGACCAGGGGGCCATAAGAAAAGGGTGCCACCAGAACAAGGCGCCATCACCTCAGGATAACACTAGGGCGGGTCGCCACCAGAGATGGCAGACTCGGTGGAGGACCATGGGGGAATTTCCGGAGTGGGGAGACATTTTGAGCTTTAGCGCAGAGGGCAACACACACACACAGCAGCGACGCCACTATGCATGAGAGAGAATGGGCTTAGAGGCAAGACGTGCGGTTACGCCAACTACCGAGCCATTACTACTACTTCATGAATGACCACATGATATGTTTGGCGATTTGCCATAAACAATTTTTCCTAAAAAAGGAACGGGCTTTCAATATAATTTTATTTACATCATTTGTGCCATTATTTCCTCCAAGATTTTCATTTTTATCTAATGAGGGGTAATTTTCCCAAGATCGCCGATCGCTGCTCTCAAGAGATATATTTAAAAGCTTTTACGAAAAAATGCTCTATTGGCGGGTTAAAAATCTGGCAGTTGCGCATTGACTTACACGACGCAACCAAGAAATTACATAGTCTAACACTGTCCAATCAAATAACTTTAATAACATAATACATCACTAACTAAAGATATATAAAAAAAAATATAGGCTTTTTAATTTGTTACTGTTTATATTATACAAATCTGCATATGTTTAAAAAAAAGTATAATAAGTTGAATAATAAGTGTATCAAAAATGTAGTTACCGATAAAGAATAGCATCAAGCAGGCCACTGAAATTCTCATTGTACAGATGTAGACGATAGCTAAATATATTTACTGAATCTTTACCTGCTCGGAACAAACTGTAGTAACTTATGTGTCGAGCCGCGCTTTTTATTGTACCACTTAGCTCCGGTTGACAAGTCTAGTGGCTTGTCGATCAGGAGGCGTCGGCCACCGACCCCCTCGACGTTACCCGGGGAACATAACATACTGGGCGCGTCTCGCGTGGGAAGACAAGGGATATGTCCGGTACCTGCCGGACATAATACAGCATCTACAGGGCTGCCAGTTGTGAAAAGGCAGAGACAGGGTAGGGCTATGATTGCAAGCTGCCGTTAATGGATATGAGGTTAAGGTGGTAACCTCTGGCCGATGATTCTTACTACGCAGCCCTGAGAAGCTGTTCCAAGGCAACCGTTTCGTCCCAGCTACATCGCAAATTAGTTGCGTTGTGGAAACCCACTGTGGAATCCCTCTTATAGGGCGTCCCCCGGACTCTCTTTCCAGTGCCCCCTACACGCAGAGCCGGCGCCAGAGTATTTGGCACCCTATGCGAACCTGTCGCACTGCTACCCCCCCCCCGCACCCACGGCAACTAATTATTTAATTAATATTTACTTTCACAAATGAATACTGTGCTGCCGATTGTTTCAATTCGTATTTACATTCAAAAGAATCTATACATGTATAATGGTATATTATGTAATTTCAAAACTTTATTTTTCGCGCTTTTGCTTTAGCAAATGTAGAAACGAGTTCCATCAGTTCAATGCCTCTACCAATGTCATATTCAATTGACAGAGTAGCTAGTCCAACAAGTCTTTCTTGTAGCATGGATGTTCGTAGATATGATTTTATGAGTTTAAGCTTCGAGAAGTTTCGCTCACCACTAGCCACAGAAACTGGAAGTGTCAAGAGGATTAGAGGCACAAAACCCAAGAAATGTTCCTTTATAGATGCCGCAATCTCATTTTCTGGATTTGAAATCACATCCACAAAGGGAATGATCATGGTCATCTGTTAAACATGACCAGCATCTGGTGTGCAATCTAAAATTATTGAAAAGTGCTTAGCACAACGAGCAGATGCTAGAATTTTTTGTTTGATTGCATTGAATAAAAGCTGAATAAGTTCATTCTGTATGTGTTTGTCTAGATAATGTACATGTGTCTCATTGTCTCTAATCTTTCGAAGAATAGATCCATAAGTGGGTCAAACGAAGCTAGAAATTCCACAAATTTCAGGAAGCTCCCGTTGTCAGAAGTGTTCAGTTTCTGATGTGTTCCACGAAAAGCAAGATTTTGCATACCAAGAAGTCGAACTAAAGCAATCAGCCGTTTCAAGATTTGCTGCCAATACTGTTCTTCTTTTTTAATGAGACGCAAATGTTCGGCATCAATTGTTTTCATGTGTCGCAGTCGCAGCTCAAGTTCCTTCCATGACTGAAAATTCGCTAGATGTTCATTGCTTTTCTCATGTCCTGATAGAATTGCTGACATGTTTTTCCAATCAGATGAGTCTTTATCAGAAAGAGATGACGCACCTGTTGTGCTGGTAAACAGCTTGCAGCAGAAACAATAAACAGAGTCATTCCTTACAGAATACAGCAGCCAATGTCTTCGAATTTCATCTTCTTTGACAAGGCTGCGGTTGTAATGAAGTTTTGAGAATTACCTTTATTTACCGTCATTCTATCAAAATTGGTCGCATACGATCATCGAATTCGGTCAAAGTAGCAGAATCGTCATAGTTAACATATAAACCAGTTAAATTATCGAGTTTATGCACTTCAGATTTAGTTTCTTGGTGCGTACCGTGCATTTCATTGTGTGCTTCAAACTCTTCTGATTCTGTCATCTCCTCGGATTCCACCGCTTCCTTTTCTGCTTCGGCTTGATTGTTGAACTCCCCTGGACCATCTTCGTCTCTGTGCGGTGTACATAGATACTTTAACAACCAGTCTCCTTGTTTTGTTAAAACGTATTTTTCATTTTCAGCCCGACGTGTACTCTACTGTGCGCCAGACCATCGTATTCTCTCTGCCATGGGGATTGAAATAACGACGGAAATTGCAAATTCAAATTGTATTATGGTTTACTATTTTACTGTATTTTCAATTCATTTTTGTAAACACAATAATTGCAATTTACATATACAAGTTTAAATATCTAAATCACATGATTTTAAATTTAACGTTCTACACAAGTAAAACTAAATATCTCACGCCCCTGATTACACAGAGCATATGTCCGGGTTTTAATTGGGTAGCCAGGATCCTCTAAGTGAGGCTGGCGTCGGGGAAGGGCATCCGGCCGTAAAAACAAATCGCTCCAAAACACCATTAAGTTGCAACACTCTCTGTCTTGGGGATTGAAATAACGACGAAAATTGCAAAATGAAATTTTATTATGGTTTTCTATTTTGCTGTATTTTAAATTCATTTTTGTGAACAAAATAATTGCAATTTACATATATAAGTTTAAATATCTAAATCAAATGATTTTAAATTTAACGGTGTACACAAGTCAAACTAAATATCTCGCGCCCCTGCTTACACAGAGCTCAGCCCCTGAGCTCGGCTCATCACCTTATGTCCGGGTTTAAATAGGGTAACCAGGATCCTCTAAGAGAGGCTGGCGTCGGGGAAGGGCATTCGGCCGTCAAAACAAATCGCTCCAAAACTCCATTGAGTTGCAACACTCGTCAGAGTTAATGCACTCATGTGTCCAAGTATGTCCTACCCATGCCGAGCTTGGAAACAAAGGACTGTAAACAGAGCCGTTCTTAGGAGTTTGGGGGCCCTAAGCATGGAGCGTAGGTTGGGGGCCCCGGAAGGGGGCGGGTCCGGGGTGGAGCTCCCTCGAGCTGAGGAGAAAACACCAGCCACCACTGCGGCACCTCCTTTCTGCCTTCATCAATGTTTCCTCTTTGCTTGCGTGTAACCACTAACCATATTGATAATTCCGCCACTAGAGAAAATGTGTACTTCTGAAATAGATGGACATGCAGGTGGTAGTGGGGCCCTAGGCGGTTGCCTAGTTTGACTATTTGCCTAAGAATGGCTCTGGTGGCACTAATTTCCTTATTTTGAGGAAGGAGCTCGCCCCCGGCTATCGAGGGCGCCTCTCGGGGCCCCTTCACTTTCGGGGCCCTACGCGGATGCGTAGTCAGCGTATGCCTAAGAATGGGCCTGCTTTAAACGGTAAAAAAAGAAGAAGAACCTTATCTAAAGTATTTAAGTAACCTGTCGACGATTATCATATTTAAATTACTTATTTTATTTTCAATATTGACGTCATTTCAAAATGAAATGACGTCACCGGATGTGGCGATATTTGCCCGTAACGTCAGTAAGTAAATTATTGATCACATTTATACTATGCAATTCGTTTCATTCGTTTCAATAAAACAGCATATATTAGTGTAAAAAAAACTATGCAATTTACTTCAATCTTTATTTGACGGCGTCACTCCACTAAAAAAAATTATTCAATCCATTTATTACTAAAGGGCGGCAATATTTTATAATTTTTTTACGTAGCTCATAGAGACGCACTGCCGCCCCATTAATTCGCCTAGTGGTTAAACCGGGCCTTCCTACACGCGCGCCGTGTCTAGGGCCTAAAAATCCTAAGAACGGCTCTGCTGAACATAAAGAAAAAAATGACACCTCGGTGGACCACCCCATGCACCCTATTTCGGTGACACTAGCAGGGGCGTATCTACAGTGTTTGGCGTCAGAGGACAAGATTAATTTTTATGCCCCCCACCCACCTCACAATTCTGAAACTGATTATTTTCAACTATTAAATACCACCAAAGCCCATTTTCCCCCCACCCCACTAGTCTGGCGCCCTGGGACATATGCCCCATCTGCCACCCCTTAGCTACGCTTCTGGTCACTGGGAAATGGCACAGCCCCCCCCCCCCCCAGGGACATATGCCCCATCTGCCACCCCTTAGCTCCGCTTCTGGTCACTGGGAAATGGCACAGCCCCCCCCCCCCCTAAAATTTGAAAAGCACCCCGGGGAAAAAATGTCTGAAAGAAATACTTGTGTGCTCCTTCTAAATCTTGTCATCCACATTAACGCTTGTTATCAAGAATTATTTTCTGGTAATGGTAAAGCCAGAGCCGTTCTTAGGAGTTAAGGGGCCCTAAGCATGGAGCGTAGGGTTGGGGGCCCTGGAAGGGGGGGTCCGGGGGTGGAGCTCCCTCGAGCTGAGGAGAAACACCACCCACCACTACCGCACCTCCATTCTGCCGATTTCCTGTCTGCCACCCCCAAAACTCCCCCCTGCTGTTTCCCTTCCCCTGCCTCCGAATTCAACTCAGAATGATAAATTTCAGGATGAGGAAGGTAACGTGAGTGACTCAGACGGCTGCAGTGCCAGTTAAAAAAAACCGGGGGATCGAGGCCACCTCACCGGGGGCCCCCTCACGTTCGGGGCCCCACGCGGATGCGTAGCAAGCGTATACCTAAGAATGGGCCTGGTAAAGTCAAAGATTGAAACAATCTAAGCACACGTGTGGGGGCCCTGCCTCTAACATTTGATGTCAGAGTGACATCTTACCGGTCATTTTAAGAGTTATTACAACAACGAACGGCTCATCGATTGAGGTTGGTCGATCTTCTTTTAATTTCGTGAGTCGTAATCCCACAAAGGTGAATTAATGAAGCTTTTAAATCAATTTCTTTGCCGCCCCTAACGCCCTCCCACTTTACTCCCCAATCGAAACCCTGAAAGTCATCGACCTGAACAGACTTTAAAACAATGTATTTAGGGCTCGTTCACAAATTACGTCATGCTCGGGGGGGGGGGGGGGGGGTTCTGATAAAATTTGTGACAGGGG